CAGTTTATTAAATAGACAAATAGAAAACATAAAATTAGAGCACAGAGGGCATACACTCAGCTACTTAGTCACTTATTGGCCCACTATAAATGAATCATGACTAGGCATAATATCAAGTACCAAGCAGCTGAGGTTGGGACATTCTGAGCCCACATACTTCCTATGAGAGTGAGAACTGCAGTACACATACACCACACACACACACACACACACACACACACACAGAGTAGAGGCCCGGTGCACAAAATTCATGCACAGGTAGGGTCCCTAGGCCTGGCTGGCAATCAGGGCCAATAGGGGCCTTCCTTCCCCTGGTTGTTGGCTGCCAGCTGGCGCCTTCCTTCCCCTGGCTGCTGGCTGGGGCTTTCCTTCATTCCATACCGTCCCCTGGTTGTCAGCACACATCATAGCCAGTGGTCAAACTCCTGGTCGGTTGAACTCCAAGGGGACAATTTTCATATTAGCCTTTTATTATGTAGAAGGATATTCACACACCCTAGAAAATCTCTCAAACACACACCCAAGGAAATGAGAAAATAACAATTAATACAACATACGTAAAAGAGCAAAAAAATGGAAATAACATAAATATTGATCAAAATGATTAATAAGACAGAAAAAATATATAATGGAATGAAGAATTCTAGTGTAAATGAAGGAATTAGAGTACAAATATAGGTAGATCTAAAAATGTTGAAGAACCTATAATTACACTTACTAGTATAATTATATACAGAAAAGATACACAGGATAATAACCATTTTATACAAGGATGCTATCTAATCTAATAAAAGAGAAACATGGTAATTGGCGTACGACTGCTACCCTTCCCATTGGCTAATCAGGGAGATATGCAAATTAACTGTCAGCCAAGATGGCGGCGGTAGCCAGGCAGCTTGAAACTAACATGAGGCTTGCTTGATTCAGTGACAGAGGAAACCAACGGTTCCTTGTCAAATCTTCAGAAATTAAATTAATAGTTTTTCTTCCTATGATAATCCTGCAAAATCTAATGCAAGCCTGGTTCTCTGGTGTCAGAGGGTCATAAGTATTAGAACTGAAGGAAGAACAAATCCACGGGGGTGAAAGAACATTACTAGAACTCTGAAACCTAGAGCCCATGACTTGGGGAGGAGAGGATCAGATTTTAAAATAATTAACTGGATTTTTGTAAAAGAATTTTAGGAATGAAAACTTAGGGAAGATATGTGGCCATTCTAAGTTTAGCCTAAAATTCACAGAGAAAGAGATAAGAATGAGAAGATCACAGAAAGAAGCCATAACAACTGGATCCCAAATTCATCTCTCGGATCACACCAGGGCCAATGCCATAGACTTCTTTCTCATTGAAATTCTCCTGAAGGGCAACTCACAAAATCTCCTTCATTTGTTCCCTGCAATATTGAGCCACTGTTACTGTCAGAAAGTTCTTCATATCTTACCTAATTTTTCATGGTGCATGTTAAAGCATTTTTTTTTCCTGCATAGTTTTCACTGGAAACAAAACCAGCTAAATTCAAACCTTCACAGGATTAGGAGAAAGTACTAAAGATTAGGAGAAAGTACTAAATGATCTTGAGAGTACATTTCCATAAGTGGTTATTAAAAACATTCTTGGTAATGTCTTTGATAATGAATTTAGACCAAAATAATGGATTTAGGCCATAGGAATTAGTTCTATGTCTCAAGACATAACTGGATGTCTGACAATTACTTTGTGTACTTATGTATAAGCCAGCAACTTCAAAGGCTGTACATTGAATGATACCTTCACAGAATCCATTCGATCCATGTGAACTTTTGTGTATTTAATACCAGTAACAAAATGAGAATGCCTATTTGGAAATATGCAATTACTTGCAGGCTCAACCCCTAGTATAAAAGAAATACGAAGTAAATGTGCTAATAGGGTGGGCTTGGGCTTCATAAAAATACTGAACTTTCATGAAGTGTGTGAGATATAAATCAAGGAGAAAAACACAAGATACTTATGTGTGGCATTGGGGTGCTGTGTTCTGGAATGGCCTTGTCTACATGCCAACATTCTACATGGGTAACACAAATTTTTGTGCACCGGGCCTCTAGTCTAATCTAATAAAAGGGTAATATGCAAATTAGCTGTCACTTCACAACAAAGATGGTGGTGCCCATAGCATCCTGCGCCCAGAGCAGCAGCAGCGGAGAGCTACCAGCGGTGGTGGGCGTGGCTGCCAGGTGGCCGGCTTTGGTTAGCTGTCTCCCGGGCTGCTGGGGTCTGTGCTGAGGTGACTGGTGGTACGGGCAACTGCGGGGCGCGTCTGAGGCTGGGGTGCTGGGAGACGTTGGACTGCAGCCCAGGAGGCGAGGCGCCGGAGGATCTGGCCACCGCCTACCTGGCACTGAAGCTGCCTCCTACAAGATGTATCCTAGCCTAGGTGTGCAGGAAGCAGGTTCAGGGAACCTCTCCCTTTGCGGTGCCCAGGGCCTGGCTCGGAGAGGTGCAGTGGAGAAAGACCGAGTTGCTTTATTAGGAGCAGCAGACCTGCCCTAGGCCGCTTCTCCTTGGGAATCTGGAGAAGACCCACTTCCAGTCCAGAGGCCGACATGAACGCTGGGCATCTTTTGAAGAATGATCATTTTGCTTGGGAATATGGTCTGTCTGTAAAAGGCTGGGAAAGAACAAAATCTGTTACCAGTCCTCCTCTAAACAGACACCCTCTGGAGCTGAAAGCCTCAAGGGCGAGAGCTCTCACACCCCCATCTCTGGTCCTACCAGCGTCTGAGGCGGATCTGGTGAGTAGGAGGCCACCCTGCCTGTCGTCAGTCCGAGGGAGGCATGTCTGGGAGTAGTGAGAAGGGGCATCTTCTAAAAGAAGCTTCTCTGTCATTAACCATTTCATAAGTTTCTCCACTTTGGTAACAAGACTTTTTATATATTCAGAAGCAGGACATTTCCCACATGCTCCAATAAGTAGGATGCAGCCCCTTGCTCTGCACCAGTCACAGCTGAAAAAAGAGATGCCCATTAACCACATACCCTTCCCCCACAAACTTCACAAA